CACCACGCCTGGCTAATTTTGTATTTTTAGTAGAGATGGGGTTTCTCCATGTTGGTCAGGCTGGTCTCGAACTCCCGACCTCAGGTGATCTGCCCACCTCAGCCTCCCAAAGTGCTGGGATTACAGGTGTTAAGCCACCATGCCCAGCCCCAAATGCATCTTTAAGATGCAAAACCAGAAAGACATTGGGGGAAGGAAGTAAAATCTTTTATGACAAGAGAAAAATATGAAAAAAATTGAACAAATGGGTCCTGCAGTTAAGCTGAAAAAGGAAGCAAGAGACATTTTTAGGTCTGTTAGTTAATTTCTTGTCCTTATACAACCAACTGCCCTTTAAAGTGACAGGACTGGCCAGGTGCGGTGGCTCACACCTATAATTCCAGCACTTTGGGAGACTAAGGCGGGTGGATCACGAAGTCAAGAAATCGAGACCATTCTGGTCAACACGGTGAAATCCCGTCTCTACTAAAATACAAAAAAAAAAGAAAAAAATTAGCTGGGCGTGGTGGTACGCACCTGTAGTCCCAGCTACTTGGGAGGCTGAGGCAGGAGAATTGCTTGAACCCGGGAGGCAGAGGTTGCAGTGAGCCAAGATTGCGCCACTGTACTCCAGCCTGGTGACAGAGCAAGACTCCATCTCAAAAAAAAAAAAAAAAAAAGTGTCAGGATTGGCTGGGTGCAGTGGCTAATGTCTGTAATCTCAGCACTTTGGGAGGGCGAGGCGAGCGGATCACCTGAGGTCGGGAGTTGGAGGCCAACCTGACTAACATGGCGAAACCCAGTCTCTACCATAAATAAATAAATAAATAAATTACAAAATTAACCGCAACCTCTGCCTCCTGGGTTCAAGCGATTCTTGTGCCTCCAGAAAAATAAATTTAAAAAAATACAAAAGAGGACATGTTGGCGCATGCCTGTAATCCCAGCTACTCGGGAGTCTGGGGCAGGTGAATCGCTTGAACCCTGGAGGCGGAGGTTGCAGTGAGCCCAGATCGCGCCATTGCACTCCAGCCTGGGCAACAAGAGCGAAACTCCATCTCAAAAAAACAAACAACAAACAACAAATAAAGTGTCAGGATTGTGGAACCAGCCCCGAATTTCACATCTGGAGGTTACAATAGTCATAACAACACTCTTCTTGCTTTATTGATTTATTTTACAAAGTTTCTTCCCATGTTGTACCCTATTTGATCAATACCACAAATCTAATGTGAGAAGATATTATTATTCCCATTCTGTAGGGAAGGACGCTTAGGACTAGAGAGGTTAAGTGACTTGCTCAAGGGGGCATAGCTACAATTAGAGAAAGAAAAAGAAATTGATAGAACTGGGTCTAGAGGCCAAATTTTTATTTCAAATCCTAGTCCTTGGTTTCCTCTTATCACCTCTACCTCATCTTTGATGACCCAGAAAGTAATGCAAAATGAGAGAAAGCAGAGGGGAACTGAGAGTGTGTGAGGCACTTAGAGGCAAGAGGCCTGGACATTGCAAAGCACTGACAACCCTGCAGTGAGAGGGTAGCTGCAGACAGAAGAACTCTGTGAAAGTGACAATAATGACTGAACTTCCAATCCTCCAATAACTAGGAAACCAGGCATACGACCACTTTAATTCCTAAATTCTGACTATTATATTGCTCTGTACTAACAGAAGTAGATTGAATACTTACAATATTCATTTAGTTACTATGTGCTAGTTACAGTGCCAAAACGGTTGAGATAAAAAAAAGAGCAATGATTAAAATTTTCCAAAGTAGAATTAAGTGGCTAACATTTACTAAGCCTTTTACATGTAGCATCTCATTTAATCCTCACAGAGCTCCTGAAGAAGTGTCATCAGAATAACATTTTGTAGAAGAGGAAACTGAGGCGCAGAAAGGCTAAACGTATTGTCCTAAAGTTACAGAATAAATGGTGGAGGCAGAATAAGAACCCAGGCAGCCTAGTTCTATATCCTGTGCTCTTCACCACCACCCAATCCTTCCTGCCCGATCTTGCTTGGCTGGAAGTCACATGCAGTGATGCAGAGAGACCAATACTACTAATTAATTCCAGGAACTATTTGTTGAATGCTCATTAATACATGAAGCCCAGGGGCAAATTCTCACAACTCCATGAAATACATTCATCTTCATTGTCTTTTTCAAACGCAGAAACAGAGACTCAGAGAAGTGAATTTACTTGTCCAAAGTCACAGAATTCTACCTTAGCTAATATTAACCTGGTGCTTACTACCTATCAGAAACTGTTCTAAGCACTAACTCATCTAATCCTCACAGTAACACTATGAGGTAAATTCCACTATTACCCATCGTTCTTCATTCTTTTTTTTTTTTTTTTGAGATGGAGGCTCACTCTGTTGTGGCGGCTGGAGTGCAGTGGCGCTATCTTGGCTCACTGCAACCTCTGCCTCCCAGGTTCAAGCAATCCTCTCGCCTCAGCCTCCCAAGTAGCTGGGATTACAAGCGTGCCCCACCACACCCGGCTAATTCTTGTATTTTTTAGTAGAGATGAGGTTTCACCATGTTGGTCAGGCTAGTCTTGAACTCCAGGCCTCAAGGGATCTGCCTGCCTTGGTCTCCCAAAGGGCTAGGATTACGGGCGCACTAACTTGTCCAAGGTCCCACACTAGTAAGCAGCAAAGCCAAGATTCAATCTAGCTTAAAGTCTTCCTTGAAACAACTTAATGCTGACACTTGCCTACATAATGGTGGAGCAGTCATCCAAACCCAGGTCTAACTCCTGTGTGACAAGGATGGCTCTCAAAACTGCTGCAGTGCAGACAGGCTCTAGAAAAGCGGGGAATAACAAGTGCTCTGGGGACTGCGAGGAAGAGGCATTTAAACTGCATCTTGAAGGAAGAAGTACTTGCTGGACAAAAAGAGCCATCATGCAATTTAATGTTTGTAAAATAAATGAAAAATAAGTAACCCTATCCAACGAAAGACTTTTAAAAAGATGGCCCAGTAATGAAGAGCAGAGAAATTAAACTTTCTTTCCCACAGCAGGCTTTAAAGGGACTGAAGCCTGCTATCACTTGCCTGCTACAGCTAGGGCTTCTAAAGCCTCCAAACTCTCCTTACAATTCCCCCATTTTACCTGTCCCCAAACCGGACAAGTCTTACAGGTTAGTTCAGGATCTGCGCCTTACCAACCAAATTGTTCTGCCTGTCCACCCTGTGGTGCCCAAACCGTACACTCTTTTGTCCTCAATACCTTCCTCCACAACTCACTATTCCGTTCTTGATCTTAAAGATGCCTTTTTTACTATTCCTCTGCACCCCTCGTCCCAGCCTCTCTTTGCTTTTACCTGGACTGACCCTGACACCCATCAGTCCCAGCAGCTTACCTGGGCTGTGCTGCCGAAAGTCTTCAGGGACAGCCCTCATTACTTCAGCCAAGCCCTTTCTCATGATTTACTTTCTTTCCACCCCTCTGCTTCTCTCCTTGTACAATATATTGATGACCTTCTACTTTGTAGCCCCTCCTTTGAATCTTCTCAGCAAGACACCCTCCTGCTCCTTCAACATTTATTCTCCAAGGGATATCAGGTCTCTTCTTCCTTACTCTACTCTTTACAACAGGGCTTTACGCAGTCACCCCCGCCTTCTTGGACTGCACTTCACAAACTTACACCATTATCCATTATCTACCCAACTCCTATAAAGCAACCCCTTCCCCATCTCCCTTCGCTGACTCCTTTTTAGATTCAGTCTGCCTGCACCCAGGGGATTAAAAAGCTTTCTTGCTCACACAAAGCTTGTTTGGTGGTCCCTTCACACAGACAGGCTTGACAGGTTTCATTAGAAAGTACTCTTGATGAAGGAAATTAATTTTGACCACATATTTTTAAAAATCAACAAAGAATCGATAGGCGCAATTTGCCTTTTGTAACATTAAAAATCAGTTAATTCTGACTTCCAATATTGGTTTCCTTCAGAGACCTTTGCAAGACACTCTTTCAGGTCCTGAAACACAGCCACTGACACACCAAAACGAGCTGGGGAATTCAGGTTAAGAACTAGAAGGAACAGGGGCCCGAGTACAAGTTGTGGCTCAAACGCCGCAGAGCTGGGTTTTCTTTTTCCTAGCAAACTGATTTATGACCACACGAAGGGCAGCTGCAGAACCAGTTAGACTATAAGTACTGTTCCCAAACAGCCCTAGAGGAAGGACCATACAGGGATGGGAATGGCAAGGGGAACTCTGGGGGTCATCGCTTGTTCCCAAGTTCCGTGAGACGCCTCAAGTCCTAATTCTTGCAGCAGCCAGGGTCCCCATGGATCCTGCTGCCCAAAACGTGCGAGCCCGGGGAGTTGGCACAGCCTCAAGGCAGCCCGACAAGGTGCCTCCACGCCCCCTTGCGGACCCAAATAATTGAGGACGATGTGCCAATTAACTGATAGGTGCAGGGTTTCAGAAATGCTCTCTCAGTTTAACCCCACAAAAGTCCTTGAAATGAGGCGTGGTGATCAGCCCTGTTTTACAGATGTAAAACACCGAGGCTCAGGGAAGTGAAGGAAGACTTGTCAGCAAAAAGGAAAACCTAGTGAAGGCCATCGTTGGTCTTGCTCCTTTTAGCAAGGAGTAGAGGGGCTGGGGTCTCCTCGGGACCTCACACCGACCCCTCTTGCTCTCTTGGCGGACGAGGCGCAGGCTGTCAGCAGGGAGGCCTGGCGGCGTCCAGGTACACGGGAAGACGGACAGCGCGGTGGGTGCCAGGGAGTCTGTCGGGCACAGGGCTGCAGCAGCCAGGCTAGGGCGCAGCGCTCACCACCCGCTCGTCGGCTTCTGCCAAGCAGCCCCGCGTGGCGAGTCCTCAGGGACCCGGGCTGCAGCCGCTAAGCGCGGGCGCACCAAGAACCATCCACGCGCCTGCAGCCGTCCGGGCGCCCCACGCGAGTCGCAAGCCACGAGCCAGGGAGCGCGTGCGCGCAGGACTGCAGCGGGCACGCGTTGGCAGTGCCATCGTGAGCTCATCCGCTGTGTCTCTTGCCTTACCGTAGCTGCTCCCCGGTGACCAAGACCTCAGCCATGCGCTCCAGCTCCCTTTGCTGCGCCCCGCCACTCCCGCTGGTACTGCTGTCACTGGCAGCACTGCTAGTGCTGCCGCCCTCCTCCATGGTTGGGGCCGTGCCGCTACCACTGGCTCCGCTGTCCGCCGAGGGTTTGGGTGCTCGGATCAGTCTGCCCTCACAGACGCCTCCCGCGCCATCTTTGTTCGGGGCAGCTCCTCTGCTCTGAGCGGATTGGCTGGAGAGGGAATCCCTGTGGGTAGGCAGACGCGCTGGGCTAGTCCGGCCCCAGAAACTTGAGCTTGGGGGCGTGGCTAGAGCCCCTCGTGGTCGGGGGGCGGGGCCGATGGAGCAAAATATAAACATCTGGGCGGGGCGCTGCTTCCGAGCTGTGTGTGCTGCTGAAGGCTGAATTTGGTGAGCTTCTCTTTACCCACAAAGCTCATGCTGTAGAATCCTAGGGACAAGCCTGGAGGTTACTAGTGTGAAGGCGTTGTTATTCTATGTTCCATACCCCAAGTTGCCAAAGAACAAAACATAATTCAACAATCTGGCCAAATAGTCAACAGTGAAGGTTATACATGTCATTGCAGGGCATGGAGAAATTAAACATTCTTCTCTCCCCAACCTCTCTCACCAAAGACGACTTGTTTGTCTTATGTTGTAATCAATAAGGAACGCAGGCCTAGGAATCAGTCGGACCTGGGATCCAGCTCCACTCCTGTGATGTCCTATTTAAATGTGTTTAATCCTCCCTTACAAAATAAAAATAATTACGGCGACCACTTTTTGACATCTGCCGCATTAAAGATACTTCAGATATGTTATTACCTCGTTTAATTATTACAATAAATCATAAAATGGATATTGGTGTTTGTTTTGCATCAGGATGCAGGCTTGGAGAGGTGAAGTTACTTTTCTAAAGCAAGCAAGTAATAAGTATAAGAAGAGCCGGGCACAGTGGCTCATGCCTGTAAACCCAGCACTTTGGGAGGCCGAGGCGGGCAGATCACCTGAGGTCAGGAGTTCCAGACCAGCCTCACCAATATGAAGAAACCCCATCTCTACTAAAAATACAAAATTAGCCAGGCGTGGTGGTGCATGCATGTAATCCTAGCTGCTTGGGAGGCTGAGGCAGGAGAATCGCTGGAACCCGGGAGGCGGAGGTTACTGTGAGCCGAGTTCGGGTGAGCCAAGTTAGTGCCATTGCACTCCAGCCTAGGCAGCAAGAGCGAGACTCCGTCTCAAATAATAATAATAAGTATAAGAAGAAATCTAACCCAGGCCATTCTGGCTTCAAAGTTATGCTTTGAAAAGACTGAAAGACTGCCTCTTAAAATGGGGATACAATGGTATTGTCTACCCATAAAAGATTATGAAAGGAAATTTGATTAGTACCAAATAAATGTTTCGTTTTTCTGTTCCATGCAGAGTTGGAGTTGGTCTGCAGGATGGCGAAGTAATGTTTATGTCAGTATTCATGTGTGTTGAGCATTTATTCTGTGCTTTACATTGTGCTAAACACCTTATCCTCACAAAACCCTGGAGTTTGGTATTGTTTTCAACTTACAAATGAGAAAGCTTAAGTATAGAAAGATGAAGTAATTTGCCTAGAAAGTTAGGCAGCCCTTAAACCCTGGTTCCGCAGATTCCCAAGGCCATACTCAGCCCCACTCCAGAAAAATAGTTGTCTTGAGCATCCATGAGCAGACCAGCTCTGACTCTGCATGAGACAGATGTTAGGTGACTCTTTTGCCAAAAGAAATTATTTAAGCTTCTTAACTTTTTAAATAGGCCACAATAGACATGTAGACCAAGGCAGACATAGTTCTAGGTGACTGTAATTCTAAGAGCCTTATTCTGCATAAAATATATAAATCATTGAACAGAAGTCCCAGAGTTAATGAGATTAAAAGGTGTCTGTTGCTCATATTTTAATCTTTTAACTACTAAATAGAATATCAAGAGTTTGCACAGGCTTCTCAGTCAAACATGCGATTTCTATCTCAATTCTGTCGTTTGCTAATTTTGCAACCTTATGCTAGTTATTTCTCTTAGCCTCCCTTTCCTATGGATAAAACAGGAATAATAATTTCTACTTCATAGGGATGTTGTGTGGTGTAAATGAAATAACATAATCCCAGTTCTTTGGGAAGCTAGGGCGGGAGGATTGCTTGAGGCCAAGAGTTCAATACCAGCCTGCGCAACATAGCAAGACCCTGTCTCTACAAAAAAAAAAAAAAAGAAAGAAAAAAATACCCAGGCATGGTGGTGCATACCTGTAGTCCCAGCTACTTGAGAGGCTGAGGTGGAAGGATCACTTGAGCCCAGGAGTTCAAGGTTACAGTGAGCTATGATTGCACCACTGCATTCCAGTGTATGTAACAGAGCAAGACCCTGACACGTTAAAAAAAAAGAAAAAATAAATAACATTAAAATTTATATTATGTAAAGTTTCTAAGATCCATGTCAGTAACACAAATTTGTAAGTTTAAGATAAAAAAGCACCTTAACATAAAGAAAAGAAAATTCAAGTCAGGAAAATACCTGATGCTATTTTTCCAGTGACAGTGAGAGAGCATGATTTATTTTTCTTGCCTGACAAGAAGTGTGTGTGGGGTGGTGTGTGTATAGGTAGGTATACGTGAACAGGAAATGGGAACCGGTTTGCTATTATTGTTTTAACCTTTTGACATATGACACACACCATGCTCCACTGGGTAAGAAGACAGATCATTTTCCTAACTTAGGGAAAAAATGGTGAGCCACATCCTGAAGACATGTCCATGACTGTGAGCCCAGGAGCAACTGGTTTCAGTAAACTGTAATTTTTAGATATTGATCAAGGAGAAAAGGACACTGATATGGCAATTGATTCAGCATAAATATTTTAGAAAAACAGAATTCTGACAAACCTTGGTTTGATTCTTGGCCATATTTGGGCAAGTTCATTATCTTCTCTGAATTTGCTGTCCTCTTTTGTAAAGTTAAGATTATAACACCAATTCCATTGGGTTATTGGGAGGATTAAATAAAATTTACTGAAAGCACTTATTACAGGTGGGAACTATGAAGTGTGAGCTTTCTCTTCTAGCTCTCCACACCTACCTCTTTCATGCCTTCTGTCTGTTTTGGTGCTTTGGGGCCAGTGCTTCTCAAAGGTTTGGTGGGGGGATCCAGCTGTGTGTGTGTGTATGCTTTCAACCCATTGAAACCTGATACTTTGATGAAATACAACAATAAAAATGAAGCCAGGCTCAGTGGCTCATGTCTGTCATCCCGGAACTTTTGGAGGGCGAGGCATGCAGATCACTTGAGGCCAGGAGTTCAAGACCAGCCTGGCCAACATGGCGAAACACTGTCTCTACTAAAAATATAAAAATTAGCCAGGCGTGTTGGCAGGTGCTTGTGATCCCAGCTACTTGGGAGGCTGAGGTGGGAGAATTGCTTGAACCTGGGAGGCAGAGGCTGCAGTGAGGCGAGATCATGCCCAGTTAGCAAACCACACTAGGAGTAGCACTGGTGTAATGAACTCTTCCTAAGGGTCTGCAGCAATGTGAGAAGGAGATGAACTTGAGTTGATAAAACACGTGAAAGAATACTGTCAGCTATGAAGTTTAATATGTTAGCTGTCATGCTTATTGTTGCTTTTTAATATGCATTCGTATTATTCCTGCTTGAATTTTATTTATTTATTTATTATTTTTTGAGACAGAGTCTCTATCAGTCAGGCTGGAGTGCAGTGGCACGATCTCAGCTCACTGCAGCCTCTGCCTCCCGGGTTCCAGCAATTCTCCAGGCCTCAGCCTCCTGGGTGACTGGGATTACAGGCATGTGCCACCAGGTCCGGCTAATGTTTTTGTATTTTTAGTAGAGATGGGGATCTCACCAGGTTGGTCAGGCTGGTCTCGAACTCCTGACCTCAGGTGACCTTCCCACCGACCTCCCAAAGTGCTAGGATTACAGGCATCAGCCACTGTGCCTGGCTATCCTGCCTGATTTTAAAGACTAACTGAAATGCCACCTTCTCTGTGCTATTCTCCTGTACTTCTCCAAGCAGTTTATTGCTATTTATTGCCCAAGGGGTTCACCTTGCCCACTGCCTAGAAAGAGTCGATTCATCAAGACAGGGAATTGCAATAGAGAAAGTAATTCACGCAGAGCCGGCTGTGCCAGAGACCAGAGGTATTTGTTGTTGTTGTTGTTGTTTGTTTGTTTGTTTTTAATTATACTTCAAGTTCTGGGATACATGTGCAGAACGTGCAGGTTTGTTACATAGGTATATATGTGCCATGGTGGTCTGCTGCACCCATCAACCCATCATCTACATTAGGTATTCCTCCTAATGCTATCCCTCCCCTATCCCCAAGCCCCTGACAGGCCCCGGTGTGTGATGTTCCCCTCCCTGTGTCCATGTATTCTCATTGTTCAACTTCCTCTTATGAGTGAGAACATGGGGCATTTGGTTTTCTGTTCCTGTGTTAGTTTGCTGAGAATGATGGTTTCCAGCTTCATCCATGTCCCTGCAAAGGACATGAACTCATCCTTTTAATGGCTGCATAGTGTTCCATGGTGTATATCTGCCACATTTTCTTTATTCAGTCCATCATTGAAGAGCATTTGGGTTGGTTCCAAGGCTTTGCTATTGTGAATAGTGCTGCCATAAACATATGTGTGCATGTGTCTTTATAGTGAAATGATTTATAATCCTTTGGGTATATACCCAGTAATGGGATTGTTGGGTCAAATGGTATTATGCACCCAACAAACATATAAAGAAAAACTCATGATCACTGGTCATTAGAGAAATGCAAATCAAAACCACAGTGAGATACCACCTCACACCAGTTAGAATGGCGATCATTAAAAAGTCAGGAAACAACAGATGCTGGAGAGGATGTGGAGAAGTAGGAACACTTTTTTTGTTTTTGTTTTGTTTTGTTTTTATTTCTACTGTTGGTGGGAGTGTAAATTAGTTAAACCATTGCGGCACACAGTGTGGCGATTTCTCAAGGATCTAGAACTAGAAGACCAGTGTTTTAGTATTACTCAAATCAGTCTCACCAAGCATTCGGTGAGAAGTGTTTCAGGACAACTTGGTGGGTGGGGGGAGCCAGTGAGCCAGGAGTGCTGATTGGTCAGGGATGAAATCATAGGGAGTCAGAGCTGTCTCCTTGTGCTGAGTCAGTTCCTGGGTGGGGGACCCCCAGATCAGATGAGCCAGTTAATTGATCTGGGGGGTGCCAGCTGATCCATCAAGTTCAGGGTCTGCAATATATCACAAGCACTGAT